GAGCAGGATCGGATGTACCGCGAGAAGATCCAGTCTCTCCAAGAGGAGGCCGGGCCCCGGGGGCCCCCCCCCCCCCCCCGAAGCGCCCACCCACCTGCGCGGCGCCGCGGAAGCGCTTATATAGGGGGGGGGGGTGAAAATCACCGCAATGCGCGATGTCAGGTGTCGCAGCTCAAGTCGTACCTGCGAGAGGCCTGCTCATGGTTTTTTTTGGGAGGTGCCAGGGTCGCCAGCTTTGATGTGTGCCGGCAGGTTGAACGGGCTCGATTCAAGGGCAGGCGCACATTTTACTTGCACTCTTGCCATGTCACCTTGCATCTCTATCAAGACTCGCCGCTGCGAGAGGCCGCCTGCGGAGTAACGGCGCGGTCCCTTGCCTTCGCCTTCGCCGCTGTGCTGAAAGAGAGCAACTTGAAGCCACGGTCGTGGACGAAATCGGGGAGCCCAGCGGGTTCTGATTCTGCATGCAGACTCGCGAGCCTCGCCAGCAATCCCAAGCCCGAAGAGATGGCTCGGCAGTTCGGGTGCGGGTGCCACGAGGCTGCTCGTCTTGGACCTTTGCAGCTAAAGCAGTGATCCACACAGCGATCTTGCTTGAACTTCCTCGACGTTGCTTCCCGAATCATGCAAGCAGTTCTGATGGAACGTGTCGCGGTCGATTGCCGATGGACTCGATCAGCTAAAGTGGCCGGGAGTTGCAAGTTGTAAGCGCACATCGTCTTTGCATCGGAAAAGCCTTTGCTGAAAAACTAAAACCCATCCTAGGCCTTAAACCCTGGAGCCACTTTGGCCGCCCCAACCCTGAACCTCCATGTCAATGTGTTGAAATGCGGCAATTGGTTTTGGACTCGTCTGAACTTCACGGTCCTGAAGCTCCCATGCATGCTAAAGAAGGTTTTCTGTCCCTTCCTTGGTTATTCGGCGAGCTTCACGATTAGGGCGTGGAGTTCAAGGCTTGCGGGATTTGAGCAAATTGGCTTTTAAGGCTCACGCTCTAAGAGTTAGATGTCTGGCCGCACGCCTTCCGCATTACGTGGCATGGCACGGCTAGTTGGAGCCACTTAGGGTTTGGTGTCCGTCGATGCATGAAGAATGTACTATGAAGCTTTGGCTGTTGGCCCACTTCCCCTTGATCTTTGAAACCCGAATGCGCCGAGCACGGAGCCGCGCCACAGGATGATACCGCGGGCGCCCATCTTCTCGTGCTCTCACTGTTTTCCTTCCTTGGATCCGTGGGTTGCGTTCCGGGATGTGCTCATTGCCGGGGCTCGGGGTCGAGGAGCCATGAGGAGCCGGTTTGCCCAAGCAGATTTGGAATTGATTTCGGTTCAAGGCAGACCTGCCGTCTGCCGCGCCATGTCACGTGGAGCATGGACACAAAAAAGGAAATCCATCTCCACTGATCTATACTGTACGCCAAACACATGACACACAGTTCGCGTTGGAAGATTCTTAGCTGGAGCTTGTTGTGAACCTTCCACTTGAAGCCCGAAGAGTGTACAACCCAGAATCAACGTAGAAAGGAGGGCGCTGTAGGCCTAGCCCTGGGCCTCCTCATCCATCATGGCCTCGCAGTCTGCTCGGTTCTCGGGAGAATGACGCAGGGAGCGGTTAAGGGTTTTTTAAAATCCATATATATATATATATATGTGTGTGTGTATATATATATATATATATCTGCAACACAAGATTTAGTATATACAATTGATCGGTAGTGTATCATATACCATATAGATAACCAATAATCAATGTACAGTACACAATGTACAGTTTAGACATGTGTATATATATATATGCACGCATACATATGTATACATATCTATATATACACATAAATATGTGTGTATTTAGGTATGTAGAAATATACACTTATATAAGTTTGTAATGGCAAGTCTGTAGTACAAGATGGTTCAATGTACACTATGCAATATACAATATACAATATACAGCACTCCCTCACTTCACATATATTTATATCCACAGTATAAGGTAATATAATCTGATTTTCTATAGAATCGTACGTTGTAGTATAATGCAATATAGTATTTTTCTCGGTAATCCAGAATAGATATTATATAGCAGACAATATACACCACATAATATATAATACATAAGGTATAAAGTGTATAATAATCAGCATGAAGTATATAACGTATGATACAGGAAGAATATTCATGATATGTAATATGTAAAACATAATGTATCATATTTAGCATATAATAGAACTTAATACAGTATACTATAATATATTACAATTCAAAGAGATGTGTATATGAAAATGTATATATGTACAGGTAGCTTATCATGTAAGATATATAGCTTTTTATATATAATGGATGGCTTAGTGTATATATATATATATGTATATGTATATATATATATATATATTATACAAGATATGGTATATACCATTCAATGTTTCATGCAAACTATGTAGTTTATTTTGTGAAGCGTACAGTATATAAGACATCACATAAAAACATAATATGTGCCATAGAGTATGCGGCACATAAATTATCCTTGATAATGACTGAACACAAAAGGCAATATAAGACAGCGGAAGATGTAAAATATACAGTTAAAACAGATAGTACAATGTATGTATATATATAAATAAATAAATCAATCAATAAATAAATAAATAAATCAATAAATAAAGAAATAAATAAATAAATAAATATATATATATATATATAATATGGGGTATGCACCGAAACGACTTGTGATTTCAGACTGAGGCAAGTCCGTCTTGTGTGCAGTGCAGTTTGCAATGCAGGGGTAGCTTGCAAGGTGAAGGAGGTCTTGGGGGAGAGCTTAAATGTCTACATTTCTGGACTGCCGCGGCCCTTGATCACTCTAAGCTTGAGCTAGTCTCAGATGAAAAGCTCGAGGTTCAAAGCGGAGTACTCCCACCCGTTTATGAACATCGACGCCATCGTGGTACCGGACGCTGCCGATACCTCAGCCATTGTTTTTGGTGTGGCTCAAGTTGCGCCGAATTGTGAGCTTGGAGGTCAAGCCTATCCCTCCACAGTGGGTCAACGACGTGGAGCTGGATGAGTTCGGGCACACACCTCAGCTTTGCTTCGAGATTGGACATTGATGGATGGGACCATCTCACCGCTTTTCTGCGCTGTTCCGCGTATTCCACCTGAGTCGCACTGGTAAGGGCCGAGATGGGCGACGTGATCGGGGAAGGCCCAGTTCTGGCATGGAGCTCTGAGGACACCCTGGTTCAAAACTCACTTTCTGCATTTGCCACAAGGCCTGACTTGCAGTCCTTTCGGCCTTGTTTTAGCAGGTTCCTAGCTGCGGTCATAATTCGCTGGGGTTTTTGCAGATGTTCAAGAGTCATCCGACTGTCCTAGCTAGCCTTGGCTTTGTCAGCGATGCTGGCAGGAGCGGAAGCAGCGCTATCAGCACGCCCTGCGCAGACTGGACCTCAACGAGGCACTCAATGCATAAGGTTTTGCACGGGGGGTCTCAATCATTGGAATGCGGTTCTCCGGAGTTTAGGGGCTCTAAGTCTAGAAGGTTACCATGAGTTCGCTACGATAAGCATACCCGCTATACGGTTCCCATACGGTATGATACCGGCACTGTAAGGTCCGGTGCACCATTATCAGGGTACCATACAGTTACCACTACACTAAGGGCACCGTACCGATAAGTTTGCCATGAGGTTACTACCAGTGTGATGCTTATTATAAGTGTACTATAAGGTTACCAGATGTGTACGACAAGGTCATGTACAAGGACTATACCTAAATCATCAGGTTACCATAAGGGCGGTATACGGCCCAAGCCCCCAAAGCTGCGCCTCGGGGTTTGGCCAGGAGATGCTGAGCTCCAAGCGCATCACGCTGATGAGTTCGAGCCCCGGCCTCTCCTCATAGTGCCGTACATGTTGCCACGTAAAATTTATCCTATGTTATGCTGTACTATGTCTAACCATGTTATATTATGCGATATCGGATTTTGCGATATAAATATAAATATATATATATATATATATATGCATGTTTGTAGTCTATTGTGCAACAGAGCGCCTAAAGTGCCCATGGCTACATTTGTGAGGCAAAACGGAGCTCGGCCAAGAAAAGAAACGCGTCAAAGCGGACTCTCAGCTGTGATCAGTTGCCATCGCAGAAGCAAGGTAGATGCTACCTGCTGATGCTCTGACACGGAAGGAATTGAAACGCTACGACACTGATTGGAAGAAGCAGCACAGAGCTCGGTTCTTCGATATAGGTTCTACTCGTGCAAGCATTGGATGGGTGAGGTTCAAGGTTCTACCAAACCATTCGCAGAAGGAGGTCATGCGACCGCTGTACCTCTACTACAGGCCAGCTAATACGGTTTTTTTTCGCTTTTGACTGCCACCCAAAATGCGCAAGATGCTTCCAGGCGCCTCAAGAATCAGCTGGCGACGGCTGACTCCGGGGCTCGAGGTTGCCAGGGCTGTGTTGCGCAAGCATTCCGGTGTCTTATGTACATACTCAGTGGCTATCGCCCCAGGCTCCATTGTGTCCATGTGCATCGGGGCTTTCTGTTGCCCTCCGTGCCCTGTCAGATCAAGACAGTGACGACGACCTCCTGGGCAGGCTGGGCAATCGGCACTCTGCCCTGGGGTGTTGTTGAATCGGTCGTATTGTGGCGGATTTCGCAGGCAGCCTGGCCCGGAGAGTGCGTCTCGACCTCAGCTCCCCCCGTCATACATACAGTACGCTAGTTTGCGTCATCTTACACTACGTCAGCTGGTTGTATATGGTATTACATCATACCAGATGCAACGCGATTATGACGTGTTTTTTTGAACTTGCTTTATGGTGCTGTAAGATACTACACTGAATCTTGTTTTGTGTAATAACATAAAGCATTCCAGTATGTTACACTGCATTACATTACATTACATCTCATGACAACACAATACCATAAACTACACCATGCTGCATTTTTTGTATACACGCATATATATATATATAGATTGCATTGTGGTACATTATTCCTGCTATGTTATATTATGTTATATTGTATTGTAACATACTGTAGGTGTTAATGATACGTTTGCTTATTGTGTTATGTTACGATGTGTTAAACCCTGTTATAGTTTATGATGCTGTATCATACTATAGTATACTGTAACATGTTCTACTTAGGTATGTGTTACAGCTAGATACACAGATTTAACATACACACTAAAAAGGAAAATACGCACCCAAGGCCCTACACCGGAAACCCTGCCTCTGCCATAATGGTTTTCGAGCCCTGAAACAAAAACCCATAAACTCTCCTAAACCTTACGCCCGAATCCAAAGCCCCACATGGCAAACGAGCCATGTCCCGTATTCCCGAGGCGGTCTGGCAGGTCCAGGCCTGAGTCGTCTGGCTCTTCCGCAGAGAGCCTTTTTCCTTGGAAGGGGTACTTGAAAGGGGCGCTAGACGAGGCGCACGAACAAGGAGAAAGCAGAGCTGCAGATCTCGCAGCTCGAGGCCAACCTTCATGAGTGGCGCGACTCGGAATTGCAGTCAGCGGAAAATTCCCAGGCGCGTGCCAACTCGCTGCAGCAAGAAAAAGGCCGGATCCTTTGCTGGAGCAGTTCTCCCCTTCAGCCCTGGAAATCGGAAGCATGTTTTGCCAACCGCCAGGTGCAATCAGGACCAAGTTGAAGGAGTTCCAAGAGAGCGATCCACTCAACTTTGCCTTTGCCGGGCTGGAGTGTTCAAGATAGTATTCAAAGGCTTTGGTGTTCAGGGCAAGTATCTCCATCGGGCCTGACCTTCACTGGGCAGATGGAAACTGCTAGCGGCTCCTTTCGGCCAGCCCGTTCAGTTTCAAGTCGATCGAGTTCTGAAGCTAATAAGACTTAGCAGCCACCTGCACCACTACACTTCCGAGAGGCTGCACAGCTGCTGCCAGGAAATGTTTTGGATAAGCTGTTTCCATCGTTGCAGACAGGGTGATGCTGTGTGATGGTCGACCTCCTGTCGCACACATTGTAGAAGGAGCTCAGATTCCCATGTCGCTCAGACTTTCTTCTACAACATCATCGAAAGATTCGCTTTCACAAGGCTTGACGAGCACCTGCTTGACATGAAGGGGTTTGCGTTTCGCTGCATCTCGGTCTGCAGAGGACATCCTGCCCATCGAGAAAGAGTACAGGATGTACAAGAACATCAAAGAGGAGCTGCAAAAGGCTCCGCAAGTTCGTGAAAAGGCGATGACCGGACAAGTCGCTCCTTGCTTGCCAGGTCGAATCACAATTGAGAAGCTTGCGTGGGTGCCCGAGTGGAGCATCGTCGGGGCTCTGCAGTTTCTTCTGATGTCATCCATGTCAGACTCCGCGAATAAATGCTGCAGCCATTTTGTGGAAGGGGCTTAGACGTGCGCCCTGTGTGCCTCCCGGATCCTGAACATGGCAGCTGGGCTTCATAAGCCATCGAGTGATTCTGGCCTCGACTCAAGTCAAGTGAGGCTCTTCGTCTTCGAGGCCTTCTGCTGCTTGCAGCCAAAAGCTCAGCCTTGAAAGGAAGTCGTGTCCTCTTCAGAGGCGTGTCTGGTTGGCCCTTCGAGGTCGCTGCGGCGCTGGCCCTGGTGAACTGCACTGGCTTCGTCAACACCGGCATTCAAGGCAGCAGTTCCCTGAAGTGGTTCAGGGTGAGGGGAAGGTTTGTCCTAGCTTGGTACTTGTGCGCAAGAGCCGGTGGAATGGCTACGCCGATCCAGCAGTTGAAGACAATCCTCGCCGTGGCAGATTCGGGGGTACACAAGCACGTAGTCGACGACGCCAGTTAGCAGCACTTCTGAAGAGCCCAGCTCCATAGCTCCGCTTGCAAAGAGACAGGATCGCGTTTCAGTGTTTTGATGAGGCCGCCTGTCCCAGGATGTGACGGCACTCAGAGCCGAGGCGAAGAAGGCACCACCTTGAAAAGAACTGCTGAGCTCTTCTCGAATGGATGTTGATGTAACAAGTGTGACGAATTGCAGGCACCAAAGAAGAAGGCCGTGACAAGTGAATCCTGTTTTGCGCTGTGCATCGTGCCTCAGAAATGACATGAAATGAATCTTGTCGGCACAGGCCAAGGGTCCCTGGGTAGGGCCAAAGAAGGGCTCTTGGGTGAAGATCCTGCGCCCCGAGTCTTACTGGCCTCTCGGCTGTACCAATGGCCACTGAACCTGCTCTAGTCGCTCGAGTCGCTCTGCGCCTGTTGAGATCCCAGGTTCCAGCAGCGAGGACAGGTGGTGAACGTGAACCAGAAACCTGAGGTCAAGTATCCGGTCACCGCAGTGGCCACAGATGGCTACAGAGGGTTTTGTGTGGCAGAACAACGGCGCTTTCTCCGAGGTGAAGTTCGACTCTGTGAACTACGCAAATGTGAACACCAACGGCTACGCGCTGTGGGAGGCCAGGAGGGGAAGAGCTAACAGGCGACAGGTTGCTGTGTTTGCACCGCAGGTGATCGAGGCGCCTGCCCCGGGCCCAGGTGAGGTCTGAGCCGGAAAGACGGCCGACGCGTTTTTAAACACGGGGCAAAAAGAGGGCCTTGGACGTGCTGGTCTCATGCAGCATCTTAGGATCAGGAGGCAGCTCGCGAGATTCCTTGCTGTCGCTGAATTGAAGTCCCTCGCATGGCTCAGGTGGAAGTACAGTACTGTGAGCGCCATCGGTTCACCGTGCCCAGTGCAAGCCTCATCCAACGCATTTGGTTTCACCTTGTCTTCATGTGCCAATGGATGCAATCAGATTTGCTTGCCATGAGAAAGTCACCAGGAAAAGAGTTATACAATAGCTGCAGCGGTTCTTATGCAGGAGCGTGCGCCTGCTTGCATTGAACCTCGCCATCCCGTCCAGTCTCGCAGGGCGCGGCTCCAGGAATTGATTTTTTAAATCCATGAAGCCCCAGCCAGGTGCTTCTAGTCCTCTCTCTATCTCGGCGGCAGTGAAAGCCGCAGGAAAGCGGAAAGATTGGGAATCTGCGTTGTTCTGCCTTTACGACAAGAGAGCCTTGTCGTTTGGGTCGGAACAGCGATGGCATCCGCTTGCACTGGCACCTCCGATGGCCGCAATGGGCATCTGCGCCAGAGCGAGTGCCTGGGCTTCGGTGATTCAGGTCCTGGATGCCATCCATGCATGTGGCCTGAATCCAGATCTCTACATTCTGGGCTCAGCTTTAAATGCATGCGACAGAGGCCATGCATGGTCTGCCGCCTTGCATCTTCTCTGTGGAATTGGGAAGTATGGACTTGATTTCAGTGAGGTCCTCGTCAACTCTGCCACGACTGCATGTGATAAGGGCAACCAATGGGCTTGCTCGCTTTGGCTTCTGTCGGACTTCGGAACAAAGAGATGTCGGCTGGACAGTGTCATCGGGCACAGTGCAGCTATGTCTTCCTGTGCTCGTTTCGAGCGCCACTGGGCACGATCTTTAGTCCTTTTCGACAGGCTACAGCATCGCTTCACCCCGGACATCATAGCCTACAACAGTGTTATGCATGCGTGCTCTACTGGTGCGGCAGTGGAAGTAGCCAATCACATCCTCGCTCAGATGCAACGGAGTGGACCTCCACCAGATCTAGTAACTTTCAATACGCTTATCACAGCATTGAGCAACTCACATGCTTGGTCGCAGTGCCTTGGGATGCTCGAGCAGCTTCAGAAAACAGGTCCGTCACCATCCGTGGTCACTTACAATGCTGTGCTCAGCTCTCTAGGACACGACGAATGTAGTTGGACGTTCACCATCGTCTTGTTGGAAGCTATGCATGGCCAGGATGTTCTTCCTGACGTCGTAACGTTCGGATCCATCATGAAAGCCCTGGCACGTTCTTCGCAATCGAAGGTGGCTCTGTCCTTCCTTTCTTGGCTGGAACGCAACCATGGCCCGACGAACGAAGTCGTTTACAGTGCAGCCGTCTCAGCCTGTGAGGGTGGATGGCTATGGAAAGAGAGCATTGCCCTGATCGGAAGGGCGAGGCACATGAGCTTGAAGATGGATGCCATCGTCTACGGTGCCGCCTGCAGCACCTGTCAGAAGAGCCAGCGCTGGGAACATGCCATCCGCTTCCTGGGGACAGCACGAGAGCAGTCCGTGGCAAGCACTGCCAGCACCCCGCTCGCCAATGCGGCCATCTCTTCCTGTGCAGACTCGGCGCAGTGGTTCCTTGCTTCGCAACTCTTCCAAAGGGCCTCCTCTTTGCAAGTTGAGGCAGACACCACGACCCACAATGCATGCCTCACAGCTTTCTCTCGACATTGGGAGACCGTTCTGCACCTCATGGAGCTGGCATCCATCCAGGAAGTTCCACTCGACACGGTCAGCTTCAATGCGCAACTCGCAGCCCAGGGCGCTGCCAGCACTTGGAGGCAGGCCGTGCATACGACGTGTACCGAGATGCGGCGGCGCAGCGTGCAAATAGACACGATCGGACTAAACGCTGCTATGACTTCGGTTACAAGCGAGTGGGTCCTGAGTGGGGCCGCGCACTGAGAAGCTCATGGGTTGTGGTATGTTGCGATGTTGCGGTAGATTTGAGTTGGGCCGTATACCCAGCATGTGATACTGGGAAGCCAAGGCCATGCTTGCAGAGATGAGATCGCTGGGACTGAAAGCCGACGTCTTGTCGACGGCTGCTGCCTTGGCCTCATGCAGCTCGTGCCAGCAGTGGGCGGCTGCGCTACTCTTGCTGCCGTTGATGCAGCTTGCCTGACTTGCCACGAGCTCTGAAAGTGTTTCCACTGTCGGCCTTTGACGTGGCATGTGTGCAGGCAAGACGACGCAAACATCAAGGCGACTGCGGGGAACCAAGCTTCTGCAGTTTTACGAGCTTACAAGAGCCTTGCCCGAGGATCGTGATGCCGGTCCCCTGGCGGCGGCAGTGGTCGGAGTGATTGATGCATGCAAGGGCTTGCGTGAATCGGCACCTGTGCCTGGGCTTTTGATGCGTCTTCGCCAGCAACTCGTCTCAGTCCCTGGGCTGCATTCATGAATCTGCATCGCTTAAGTCTTCGGCGGCGGCTGGGAAATCAAAGACTCTTTGGGTGCGCCGCCCGAGGTGATGACAACTCGCGGGCGAATCCATGAGACTCATCAAGTTTGCCAAGCCGCATGCTGCCGGCCTGGGCAAACCCTGGCTTGACAAAGTGGAGGATGCGACTCTTCAAGCTCATGGTGTACCAACAGAACAAAAGGTTCGTGGCGCTTGTCGTTGTGTCGTGCAATGAAGCATGAAGTTGCACTTGTATTTGCACCTGTATGCGGCATGTTCTTCCCTCCGTGCGGTTTGATATCGGAGTGTTAATGTTTTCCAAGGCTCCCCAAGGCTCCCTCGGACCACCCCCACCAGAATCCTTCAAACCTGGCTCGAGCTATCAGCCCTCTACGCGGTTTCACTTCCAGCCCGTGCCGTAGTTTGCAGCTCATACAAGGCACGAACCTGTTTTGAGCTTATATGGGAGTAGGGTATGAACATTTTTTTGGGAGTTTATCAGTATCCTTTTTTGGATTCCCTTCTTTGAAGGACCCTATTGTGTCTGCAGAATCAAGGAGTGTTGACTTGGGGAGATTCCCCAATTTAGTAATGGCGCATGTGTATAATGGCATAGCCACAAACCTTGCAAACCTTACGTTACTACTAGTAATGATGTTTTCTTGTGTAATCATGGAATGCTCGAAAATTGAACCGTAAACCCCGAAAGCTCAACACAGACTTCAGGTCCATGGCTAACTTCCTGGTACGCGTCGTAGTCTTCCTGTCGCTGCTGGTGGCCGGCAGCGCCGTTCGACATGGGGACGCTGCAGAGGTCGAGAACGTGCGCCACGAGGACGCTACCGAGATGCAGGACTCGGCCCCTTAACCCCTCAATCCTTAAACTCTAAACTCTACACCCTAAATCCCTGAATGCCTGAGTGACTCAGGAGGACCTGACGGATATTCCGGAACCGATCCTGGTGGAATCAAAAAAAAGCGACGAGGGCATTCAAAAAGACAAGAAGATTATCAAGAGATGTTGGAGCAAGGTGCAAAAGGCAGGCCCAAAGTTCGCCTCGTGCATCAGGGATAAGGTTGAAGACGAGTACCGCGGGTTCTACTATGTCGTAATCGCAAAGGACGACATCGTAGGCTTTGACACCAGGCCATACATCTTCGCAAAGTACGACTTCGGAGGCCTTGCTATTCTGATTTGGAACATGTACAAGGTGGGTTGGGATTGAGTATCCCCGAACTCAAAGCAGGGATGTGCGGCTATGTGTCGTGAGAAAGAAAGCGCGCTGTAGGGGAGGGGTTGACAGGGGCAGGGGAGTTGTCCTACAATTACAATGCTGAATGCTTCGTTGAAACCAATAAGATTCGAGGGTTGGGGTTGTCAGATTAGCAGGCTTCCGGACGGTCGCTGTGTCCAAATTGACGGTTCCTCTCAAAGCACAAGTGTCCAGTATAGAAGCCCTGTGCATGAAATACTTGCACTGAGGATTTCCGAGCGAGAGCTGGCAAACCAGCTCTTTGAGTTTACGGCATATCTCGAATTCATAGGAACGCCATCTATTCTGATTGAAAAAGCACTGAGGAGCCAGAGACTTTTTGTTCTGAAGGTTCCAAGCCCACCCAATTTGGGGGACCACGTTCCAACAATTTGCACGTGAGATTACTTCAGGCAGGGCTAAACAGTTTAAAACAATAGATAGTCGATAAATAAAAATAATGTAAATAAGTGAACAAATACATAACTAATTAAATAAATCAAAAAATGTTATCCCCCCCTCTAAGCCTACCTGGAAGCATCCTCTTGTAGTTTCTAGACTACGTTACCACTCACTGAACCACTCACTGAACAAAAGTCTTGTATCTCACAGCCGCTTAAACCAAAATAATGATAGTAAGTATTGCCCATTATCCTCTGTCTATGACAACACAAAACTATTGAAACCGAGATAGACATACAAAGTATTGCCAAGTATTCTTCCCTGTCTGCGACGACACAACACCGTTCGAAATTGGATAATTCTACGAAGTATTATCTAATGTCCTCTATATACTCGCTATGAAACGGTGGGCTGCTGCTGATCTTCGGTATTTAAATCGTTATCTGTAGGGTAGGTTACAGGGTATTCATTCTAAAGAGTCTCTTAAAAGGTGTTGTAGACGGTATACTGTGACATATATTTAAGGTATACAGAGGGGGTATTATATAGGCGGTATTATAAGATATTCCAGATGATATTCTATAGGGCATTCTAGAAAATATTCTATAGACTATTCTAGAAGTTTTTTTTTTTTTTTTCAAAAGGTATTTTGTAACCTATATTTAGGAAGGTATTCTTTAAGGTAGTTGTAAGACTATTCTTCTTGGTTCTTGATTTTCTTCGTAGGAATTTCTTGCCTAAAAATTACTATTTAACCGGGGCTGCTGAGATCTTGAGTTCCGACTAATTTTCTATATTGAATATGTGTTTTTATAGGATTACTTTTTCGGTTTTCTATAAGAATTCAATCTAC